GAAATTAATTCAATTATTACTTGTATCCCTTTTCTTTCTCTCCTTGTATATACAATAATGATATATACTGGCACAAAGTGGTGTAGGAAGGCAGTGTGGGACTGCTATGTCAGCCTTTCCTCACAGCTGCCCTGGAGGTATCTTCTGGGGAGCTGTTGCAGCCCCTTTATGCTGTTGGGGTGGCATAAAGGAGCCATCCACAGCAAGGGCTAGCCTCTAACTAAGTGGGTAAAGAATACACCAACATGTATGATACTTCATAGAAAAACACTAACCACCTAGAATAATGCTTTGCAGTTATCAGACATTTCCCCATGAGAAATAGATCTCCACAATCCTTCATTTTTCCAGACTTTGAGGCAGCGTGCAAAGTCTTTCACGTTATTTTAAATATTGAGAAACAAGGTGCAATTTTATATAGTCAATACTCTTGCACCTACTTCCTTCAAAGCATGGATTGCTCTGAAAATTGACTATGTACTGCTGTATCTTCTTAATCAACAGATCAGTACTAGATATGTTCAATCAGATTAGCTCTCTTTAGTATATATCTTTTACATAAGAACATAAGAATGGCTGTACTGGGTCAGACCAAAGGTCCATCTAGCCCAGTATCCTGTCTACCGACAGTGGCCAATGCCAGGTGTCCCAGAAGGGAGTGAACCTAACAGGTAATGATAAAGTGATCTCTCTCCTGCCATCCATCTCCACCCTCTGACAAACAGAGGCTAGGGACACCATTCCTTACCCATCCTGGCTAATAGCCATGAATGAACTTAACCTCCATGAATTTATCCAGTTCTCTTTTAAACGCTGTTATAGTCCTAGCCTTCACAACCTCCTCAGGCAAGGAGTTCTACAAGTTGACTGTGCGCTGTGTGTAGAAGAACTTCCTTTTATTTGTTTTAAACCTGCTGCCCATTAATTTCATTTGGTGGCCCCTAGTTCTTGTATTATGGGAATAAGTAAATAACTTTTCCTTATCTACTTTCTCCACATCACTCATGATTTTATATACTTCTATCATATTCCCCCCCTTAGTCTCCTCTTTTCCAAGCTGAAAAGTCTTAGCCTCTTTAATCGCTCCTCATATGGGACCCGTTCCAAACCCCTAATCATTTTAGTTGCTCTGAACCTTTTCTCTGAACCTTTTCTAGTGCCAGTATATCTTTTTTGAGATGAAGAGACCACATCTGTACGCAGTGTTCAAGATGTGGGCGTACCATCGATTTATATAAGGGCAATAATATATTCTCCATCTTATTCTCTATCCCCTTTTTTTAATGATTCCTAACATCCTGTTTGCTTTTTGCAAAACAGCTGCTTAGACATGGGTTAATTTAGCAAGATAGTGATCCAAATGTATGTGTAGAGCCATACGTAGGCTGTTTAAATATAAATTGAAAACACAATTTTTTTTAATCTCTTTTTTTCTTCCTTTGGGTGATCCATCTCCAGGAACTCTCTGTGTTTTTGCTATCATTGATGATTATACTTCTGATATAATAATCTTAGCTTTATTCTTGTTCTAAAATTTTATTACATTTAACTTTTGAAATCATAAATAAAATGAGGACTTTTGGAGAAAGGGGGAGGCTGAAGAACATAATTAAAATGGAAGGATCCCTTCACAGACCTAGTATGTCACCTCCATGAACAAATATAGAATGCATGGCTCTTCTATACAAGTTTATGTCAAGAAAAAGCTGCATTTCTTAAAGTACATTGCCTAGGAACATGAACAGGATTAATGATGGATTCAATTATCAAGTAACATTTTTTTCTTTCAATTTTTCTCCTATGTTCAGCAAAAACACTCATTTTGAGGAAAGGCATGTTGAAACTAAATTTTTTAAAAATTCTCATTTTGGTAATTACCTGTAATTACAGTAACAGGTGTCAGTCACACAGCTATTTGAACATATGTATTTTAACTAAAGGGCATAGTGACAGTTACAGTAAATATTGCAAAAATGTTTACATTATAAGTGGCCTTTTTTAATTGCATAACCTTTCACCTTTTGGACTGAAACTTCAGGAAGAAATCAAACCTAAGAACATTAATAGTTTTTTGGGGCTTTTTCTTTTTGGCTTTTTAGCAAAAATGATTTGGCCATTTTCAAATAGTGTGGAAAAATAGACATTTTTGCCGTTATAAAAAGTCAGTTGCAACCCTCTTGGACAGCTCTAGTGCCTGATTGATTTTTGGTTAGAAACTTTAAATACTGCACACAGATAGTCACTTGATAAGACACTTACCTTTTGGTGGTTATGTGGAAATCTATTGACTTCAGTAAGGACTGCTTCATTCAGTAAACAAAAGCATGTACCAGGTGTAGCAGGGCTCTGCAGGCACACCTGCTTCCTTCAGTGAGAGATATACACACTCAGATCATAGTCCACAAGCATGTCTGCATTAAAGAAATTCCACTCCACTTTTCTTGCCTTATTGAGTGCTTATTTTGCACAAAACTCAGCATTCTACATGTTGGATTTTTTTTTTTTTTTTTTTAAAAAATTTCTTGGAAGCTCCATTTTTAATAAATATTAAAGTTGAAAAAGAAACCATTTAAACCAGGAAATGCCAAAGTTAAGATTCCTCAAGCAACATTAACTGTGTGTGCGTGCGTGTGTGTGTGTGTGTGCGCGCGTGCGCTTTTCACCCCTAACCTGATCTTGGCCACCTTGTTTAGAAGTTTGGCATTATTATCCATATGTGAAGAGGATGCTTATGCAAGTAGGAGAACATAAAATGTATTACTGATAAAATAGGCTTTGCAATATGTTTGAAGCCTAGTGGCGGGCAGTTATGGATTTGTTTATAAATGATATGTTAAGGGTGTATTTTTGACTAATGTATAATCTAACTGCCAAGCAGTAATGCAAGTAGAAGATACTAAATATTAAGTATACTAGGCTTTCTGTAGGTAGGAAGGTTAAGAATTAGCATGAGACCTAGCTGAGGCCCTGTTTTTAGAATACAGTAACTCCTCATTTAACGTTGTCCCACTTAACGTTGTTTCAATGTTACGTCCCTGCTCAATTAGGGAACATGCTTGTTTAAAGTTGTGCAATGGTCCCTTATAACGCTGTTTGGCTGCCTTCTTGTAAGATTCTGTGGAAGAGCAGCGACTTTGCAAGGGAGCATTGCACAAGTTCCACTTCTCTGTCTCCTCCCCCTCCCTCCCAGCTTAGGACTTTCTGGGAGGGAGAGGGAGGAGCAGAGACACAGCTGTTTGGCAGCGCTTAAGACTTTGTGGGGGAGGGATATGGTGTGCTCTGGAGAGGAGGTGGAGTAGGGGTGGGAAGAAGTGGGCCTGGAGTGGAGCGGGGACAGGAAGAGGCGGGCCTGGAGCATTCCCAGCAAAATCCAAGCCTGTTCTCCAGGGAAGCTGCCGCTGCTGCAGCAAAAGTGCTTCCTAGCGTCCTTGCCTGCAGCGGGCTGTGCCTGTTTGGGGTAAGCCAGGGGCACTTCCCAACCACAGTACAGTACTGTACAATATACAGTATAATGCCTTTTGTCTGCCCCCAAAAAATTTCCTTGGAACCTAACCCCCCGCATTTACATTAAATCTTATGGGACAATTGGATTCGTTTAACATTGTTTCACTTAAAGTTGCATTTTTCAGGAACATAACTACAACGTTAAGTGAGGAGTTACTGTAGGTTAGCCTGCTTACTTACCCTGAGGTTATAAAATTTAGCAATATGTGCCAGGCACAAATAAGTAAACCACAAAAGAATGAGTACATTGCCAGTTGCTCAAATAGGTTTAAAACAGTGGATTTTTAGGTACTTTCTGCAGTAAGGTAAGCATGGAGCTAACCACACTAATATATCAAAACTATTAAGAAATTAATTGAAGCAAATGGAATACTATCTGTCAGAAGTTAAATTATGGTTAGCTGGAATATCATGTATGGTTAACCAGAATACCACACATGGGCAAGGGCAGAAACATTGTCAACTGTAATCTAAGATCTGTGTGGGAAGAATGGGAAAAGGTTTACAAGAGATGTGTCCAACCTGTTGTTGGACACATCAGGTTCACAAAATGGTGTAAACTGGATTGTGATGAGGTACTCCACTGGCTGTATTCTTCTATCTTTGTTTTCCACTATTCTCAGGAATTTGTGAGCATAATAATACTGAGAATTATTCTTATTTCTGTCAATTTCTTGTAGCATTGCTTTGATATGTATGTTTATTTGGCTTTTAAGTTTATATGTATCTACTAGTGTGTGGCCAGTCCCCTTCTTAAACAATAATATTTACGTAGCCACCAGGGTAAGGAACTTGTATTAGTGACATGAGAAATTTTGCATCCCATCTCAATACCAGGCTACCGTACATATATGTAAAACTGTAATCTTTAGTGATAGGATTACATACTATTTTTCCTAAATATCCCTCCATGCCTCATTCAGGACAGAGATTAGATAGTACTCAATAAATTAGCAGGAATAAATAAGAAATGAAGTGACTCCTTTGGATCGGTACTTTTTTTTGTCAGGGTGGGGACAAATTCTGTTCGCACTTATCAGGATGTTAGTACAAAGTAAATGAGATTTTGTACCAGTGTAGCTGAGAGAAGATTTGCATAGGATGTACAGTGAACATTAATAAAGGAGGAATTTGTAATGAATGAGGTTAGGAGACCAGAGGAGTTTGGATGGTGTGCAGTGAATTAGGTAAGCATTCACTCATTGACTAATGAGGATTTAAAAAAGTACCAAATACTTTCACTGTCCCATATCTAATCTATACACTTAATGAGATGGTGGCTCTGCAAGAAAAAAAAGCATAAGAAAAACCATACATCATAATGCACGTGCAAAAATAAAGAGAACTAAGTTTGCATGAGCAACCTTTTAGCTTTAGTATTTCCTGACTTTGGAGTGTTTCCCTTTGCAGCCTTAACTTTCATTTAACACATGTTTTTGTTATTCTTTTGGTTTGATGTATTTAATGCCCTTAGAAAATGGTTTGACTTCTTATAGGAATGTGGAGACAAGCAGAGTCAAATTGAACGGGCCATTAGAGAGAAGCGAGCAGTGGAAGAAGAACTTGAGAAAGTAAGAATGCAGATATTCAGTTTTACACTTTTTAACTTTTCTTTATTTTATAACATTGTCTTAAGTTTCTATTTCACTATTTTCTCTAATATCATTGAGTAAAATGGGGTGAAAGAATATACCATATGCTTAGTTTTGTATTTGCTTATTTTTTGTTTAATTGTAAATCCAGTGAAGGAAATTTGAAAAATACATTTTATATTTCTAATAAATTTTGGAGTTATAGTAGATTAACTGCAAAAGATGGCTCTTAGAGAATGTTTCTAAACTCCTAACTCACTATTCAGTATATATTCAGCATAGTCATATTACCTACTTTCAGGATATGTGTCTAACTGTGGTAATAAATTCCTTACAACTATTTTAAAGATATAAGAACCAAATAGGAGTAAGAAGTGTTTAAAATGGTCCAAAGGGTGTAAGTAGATGCAATAATGGAAATTTAAACAAAAGAAGATTTTTAGGCTGAATATCAGAAAAATTAATTAACTGCAAAATCTATAAGACTATTATCCCAGTAGTAGCAATGAAAGTCCCATTCCTTCAGTTACTGAAAACTGTGCTGGACAATGGAATGGATAACGTAATGTAGGCAGCAATACTACACTGACAGCCATCTGTGTGATAAAATGAGATTTACATGTAAGCCTATCCTTCAGATTTACCGTGAAGGCAGAGGAAGTGAATGTGATTACAGAAAACTGGAGGAACTGCACCAAAGGTGTCTGATTGCAGAGCGTACAAAAGATGACCTTCAGCTGTGTCTACAGGCGGCACGAAACAAAATTAAACAACTGGAAATGAAGTAAGTAACTGATATGTCCTCCTAATCAGTATTTCATTCAATATTTCCATCTGATCTAAGTCGTCTTGTGTCAAGTGTTTGTATTTTGTGATAAGTTCTTATTCAGAAGTAGGAATAGTAGGCTGTCATAATCATTCTTTTTTTAAAATATGCAGCATTGGGTGATATTATAAGTGAGGATGACATATTTTAGAACTAAACAGATTTTCTTGACAATATCAGAGCTGAAAGCAGTTCTCTTACAAAGGAAAAAAATAAACAATTTTTGTGGCTAATAATCCTATTTTAATTGTTAATGTTAACTGCTTGGAAAACCATTTTTTGCAAAATATTCAGAAGAATTCCTATTTTTTTAAAGTCGGCATACAGCAGGGTTTTATTTGGTCTATATAATACCAAACCACTGCACAGGACGCTTATATTATTGTTGTGGTAGCATCCAAAATGTGCTAGGTACTGGACAAACATAAGTCCACACAATCCTTCCCCTAAAAAGTTTATAATCTAAACAGATAAAGAGATTGAAGGGTGGAGGACAGGAATACAACATGTCTTGCTTTGCTTGCTTGCTTGTGTGTGTTGTGGAGGGTGGGAGTATTTGAAGTTCAAGTAGGGTCAATGAATTGTGGAAAGGGATTCTGGGAGTTAGAGGGGAGTGGGGAAAAGGAACAGGAAGCTGATGGAGAGGAAGGTAGAAATAGGGAAGAGAGGAGAGTGAGAAGCAAGTAGATAGCAGGCAAAATGTGTGAGAATAATGAGATTGGTGCAGGTAGAGGTATGAGGTGGGCACAAGATGTAGGTGGGACTAACAGAAATATAGTAAATTAGGAGAAATTATCCAGAGTAGAGCTGTGTGAATAATCACTTTTTTCAGTTTGCTGGCCGAATTGGGGGTGGGTGGAGTTTTAGATCGACCCAAAACAAAAAACCAAGGGGGAAAATTTGTTTTTTTTTATTTCAAGTAATTTTTTTTATTAAAAGCAAAGATAAATTGGAAATGCCATTCACGAAGCCCCAGGAGGTCATGGTACAGCCCTTCCCCTTATAGCTAGGGTTGGCAAAACGTGATTTTTATATTTATTTATAACGTTGACTGATATGGATGTTTACTCCTTAAGCATTTTTTCTAATTTGTATCAATTTACATTTTCACAGTTGCACAAAATTATGGATTTTAAGCATTTTTGTATTTAATATTTGACAATTATGGGAAATTAGAAGGGGTCAGACAATTATTTAATGACCGTAGACCTTGAGATTCATAAAGTAAAGCTTTGTAACTATTAAAACATAAATGGTCGACATCACGTGTCAAAATACACGAAGTAAATATTCTTAAATCAAACTCTAATTTTTCAAGCAACATTTTTCTCAATTTGCTTATCTGTACATTTTTATTATTTTTTCAGTTGGTTTGTGTATGTACAGTGAAATGGATGTTTACTGATTAAAAAAAATCTCACCCTTCCAAGTCTACTTATAACTTGTTGTCCCATGTTAGAGCACTCACCTGGGATGTGGGAAACACAGGTTCAGTTTCCTACTCGGCCTGATAGGAAGCAGGGATTTGAACTTGGGACTCCCATTTTGTAGGTCAGTGCCCTAACAACTAGGCTAGAGGGTATTCTGGGTTGATAGCGCGCGCGCGCTCTCTCTCTCTCTCCTGTTGAAGCTGTTCTGTTTTTTATAAATAATACTAATTGAGCGAGAGAGAGAGAGACTGTATATCCAAGTGGTTAAGGCACTCAACTATTGGATGTGGGAGGCCCAAGTTTAAATCCTTGCTACAAATCAGGCAGAGTGGGGACTTGAAGCCCACCTGGTCTCCCACATCCCAGGTAAGTGCTGCCCCCACAACAGTATAGAGTATAAGGGAGCATCCCCACCACTGAAGTCGAGTGGCATCTAAGTCCCCTTGAAACTATTCAGCAATTTCATGTCAAATCAACAAACAGTTTTGGTCGAGCTGAATATAAATTTTTCAGCAAATGAACTATTCAGCCAAAAAATTTTGCCCTACTATAATCCAGAGTCCAAATTTGAGTTCCGTTAGTTATTTACTTACATACTGTATTAGTAATTATTTGTATTATCATAGTGGCTAGGAACCCCAGTTACGGACTAGGAACTTATGCTTGGCGCTGTACAAACATGACAAAAGACAATCCCCTTCTCCAAGACCTTAATGCAGGTTTCCTGAACTTTGGCCTGAACTCTCACTATCCTGTTCCCTTGTGAAGTCCAACCTCCTATATCTCAAACGCACCCATCCTTTTTAATTAATGTAGTTAATTTAACATATGATGGTTTATGTATAAGGAGTGGACATAGTTAATTTTCCATGGTCATTCAATGCTCGGCCTCTCTGAGACTGACAAAAAGGAAATTTAAAATTGAATTAAATATTTTTGTGAATTTTTTGTGTGGCTATTTGTTCCTCTTAGACATAGACATCACACACCCAGGGGAATAAAAATTAGTTTAAAAAATATTTGTACTTTAAATGTCAAGCATTAAAAAGAATTCACATGTTCACCCATCCACAAATACATTGACGTTGACAAGCATTATGAATTTTAAAAATAAGTATTTGGCCTTCAAAATACAAAATATAATTAAAGGTTCTAATTAAAAGGCACATACAAATGATAGGGAAGCTTCGAAAAATGTAGACTGAACTTGACTTAACTCCTGAGTTGAAAGTCTAGTGAGATTTGTTTTCCCTTTTCAGCTCCGAGGAAGAGATATCTCGTTGCCAGGAAATGGTTTGCAAGCTGCAAAGCATTCTGGATTCTGAAAGAGAAAACTCTGGTTCTATGAGTGAACAAAGACTAAAACTTCATCAAGAAAATGAACAGTTGCGTAAAGAAGCAGAGGATTTGAGGAAACTGGCCATGGAGGCACAACAAAAAGCTAAATTAAAGGTACTAGCAAAACAAAAATAGTGTGTAATTATTTGGTTAAATGGGTTCCTACGAAAGATAAAATGCAAAAAACATTTCTAAGAAGAAATAGAAAAAATAGGGTTGGGAGTGACAACTTCAGTTCAGGCTTCTCAGTTCTGCCCTCCAGATACCCTTACTTGTGAAGTAACAGTCTGATAATTAATTCATTGTCTATTAATAAATAGAATTATTAAACAGAAGCTTCCAAATGTTCTTTTGGTGGCTTTTATAATGTGACCAGACTAAATAATAAAACATTTCTGGTTATCTAACTTTAACTGGAGCCAAACTCACTACTGATTGGCAAACTGGGCTCCAGTGGAGTTATATCTGCTTGCAGCAGCAAGAGATTTGATCCCAGATCTCCGAAACAGCAAGATTAACATTAACCACTATGTTTTCCAGTGTGCGCTAAGGCATCGTCACATGCCAGTCTCTTCCTTTTCCCCTTCTCATTCTAGTTATAAGGGCTGGAACATGGTTGGAACAAGCTTGGAGAGTTGGGAAGATTTGCAGGTGAAAATGTTTCAGAGAACACAGCTAACAATTCTGATCTTCAGGCTTCCCTCATGAACCTTCTGTGGTTCCCCACTGAAGTATCCCAGACTGACAGGACCTGAGGAAGTCTGTCAGACTGGGATTTGACTCTGCGGTCTTAACAACTGAAGTTGGGAGGCTGAAGTATAGGCTCTGAGGGATTGGGGATAAAAAAGATGGATATGGCTAGAGGCAAAAATATAAAATTCAATGGTTGTGAATATAAAGACAAGAGAAAAACTTGTCTGTTTGGAATGAAAGTTAGGGGATTAGGGAGATGGCATATGGAGAGCCCATGGAGCTAGTTTTGTAGTGAAGACTACTTTATTTTTAACAGCTATGATAATAAAGTCAGTTAGTCTAAAAGTCACCACCTTCAGAGCACTACCCTTGTTCAACAAGAGAACCAGGAAAAAGTATTTAACCTTGGAGAATTTAAAACATTTAAGAAAAAGGTCAATTTGGGGGCAATAAAGAATAAAATCCTTGTACTCACTATTTAGAAAATTCACCAAATAGTATTACATGGCTGACTAATTGGATGGAAATCAGAGGAAAACTGCTCAACTTGACTTATGTTTTTTCCTTTGTTTCCTTGGCAATTGACATGTGATCAGCATAACATACTCTGGTATGTGCCATTACATTTTTCAAGAACCAGTGACTGAGTCTAATTTTCCACATAATATGGAGAACTTAAAATTTTGTGTTACTTGGTAAATTAAGAGAGCATTTCATGTTCATTGGTGCATTTAAGGCTCCTTGTCATAAACTGAGTGGTTAAAGGTATATTGACCAGAAGTAAAATCTCAATCATATGTTTACAATAAACCAAATGGTCCTGCCTTGTATATACTTCACTTGTATGTTTGCTGAAAGGGGAAGAGGATTTATGCACACTTTTCATTACTTTACATTTTAAAAATATAAATCTCGAGTTTGCAGGGTGGAAATATTTTACTGACATAACTAAATCTTATAGTTTCTTTGTGTGTGTTAGGGGGTTGTTTTATTTATGTAAATAAATGGTGCTAAGATATCACAGTGCTTATTTTTTTACAATGTACAGATAAATGTTACCAGTTTTCTTTTGAGACTTATAATATTGCATCAGCACACTTATAGAAAAGAAACTGATTTAAAAAAACTTTTAGTGGAATACATAAAGTTTAAAGGTATACCATCAAATCAAAATAGTTTAACAACAAAAAAAGTTAAAAGTACTTTCATGTACTATATCAGCCTTATGCCAGTTTTCATGGTTTCATAATCACATTTTCTAGGTTTTTAAAAATATTTCTCTCCTTTGTTTCTGTGTGAAAGACGGTATGGGAGGAAGACTGGTTACTCATAAAGTAACAAAACTCAAAAAGTTTTCCCCCTTAATCTTTATTATATGATAAGTTTCAATGTTACTTCTAACTACAGAAAGGGGAAAAAATCAATAGTCACTACTGGAATAAAAAAGACTCTCTTTAATGTCACACATAACTTACACCTATAAAAAATGAGTGAATGTTTAATTCTAAAAGTGTAATGTATGTGCCAGTGGATTTGTTTGGGGGCACAAATGGAAGTGAGTTTTGTTTTTAAGAAACTCAAAGCCTAAACTTGTTTTGTTAGTTTCATACTATTAAAATAAATATAAGGTTTTTCTATTTTCTGTAAAAATTCTAGAATTATAAAATACCAAAAAAGTAGATTAGGGAGGTACTCCTTTATATTAGTGAAATAAGCAGTTTACATTGCTTTTTCAGGTAATATATTCCTATTTATATCTTGTGTATTCAAATAGGAGAGTTATGGGGAGAGGGGCTGAATCTTCAAAATCTAATGTTGCTATAACAACTTTGAAAATTTGATCTATTTAGGCCATGCCATTCTTACGAAAGAAATGTGATGTAATGATTTAGAATTCTTATTTAATGTTGTATGTAAATTTAAATATAAATATTTATAGGCAGTTCTGCAGAAATGAGACATGTCACCCTATTGACCCATTATATATATATATAAATAAAAAAATACTCATTTGGAGTCTTTTGATATAGGTAAATTTTTTTTAAAATTGTGTCTAAAGCTGGCAATTTGTAGGATTGCATGTGTACATCAATATTTTCAACAAATGTCATTTAAGATCAAAGATACTAACTGAAAAACATATGAGTTGGGGAAGGGTGTGTGGAGAGAGTGATCGTTTACACACTAACCCTTCAAATTAAAACTTAACCAATATTTATGTCAACCAGGCTTTTCAAAGTCAGTTTACAGGATCTTCACTATACTCCAGGTTGGACATCCAGACTGTGGACTCCTCAAAGCCAGCGAGATGGCTCTCTTGTTCATCTGAAATCTGATGTATCCAGAGGCTAAATGTATATTCAACATAATTGGTTATCTAACCTTTGTTGCTATATTTGCTTGTGTAACGACCTGGTACTTTGCATGTACAATTGTACACCTAAACAAGGTCTCAGTTAAGCACACAACTGAGCCTGCACAGTTATTTAGTATTTGAATTTTAGTAGTTCTCACAATGGTGATAGGTGCTTTCCAAACATACAAGATGTAAACCCTTCCCCAGAGAGCTAACCTTCTAAGAATACAAGTAATTTACAGAATTCAGGGGAGAAGGATAAAGCATATATTCAATTTATAAAAACAATAGGCATTACAATCATCACTACCCTTTATTGCCATTTGTATTAGGTTTTAAATTGGTCTTATGAGCATATTTTTATATGCACACTTAAAGTGAATGTTTTGGGGGGTTTTATTCTTGGGCTAAAGTTGCAAACTTCTATTGTCTGATTGTGGCTTTTTTTTTTTTTTTTTAACTGTAGATAAGCACAATGGAACATGAGCATTCAGTGAAGGAGCATGGGTTTGAGGTTCGACTGAAAGAGATGGAAGTCACTAATCGAACTTCCACTGTTCAACTGAGACATCTGTTGGTGGCTCAGCAAAAAGCAACGAACCGGTGGAAGGAAGAAACAAAGAAGCTTACAGAAACTACAGAAACCAGGATCTGTAATCTGAAGTAAGTGCAATCAGTCTTTTTCTTTTACACTTTTTATTAGTTTAACTCTTAGGTTTTGGTTATCATGGTCATCATCATGAAACTGTACTTGTGGTGGGGAAAAAAGATAGTGAGTAAATAATTCAGGCCAGAAGAGATGTTGCAGTCTCAATGAATAAACAAGAGATGCTGCAAAAAGAATTGTTAGTTTCTGCTTTCCTTTCTCAGATGCACTTAGCAGGCTGATTGCAGAAATGAAGGCTTTGTACCTTGCCAAAAAGACAACACTACTTGTGTGTTTTTGACATTTTGTAATGGCAAAAAAGTAGTTACAATATGTCACTTTATTTTAATACTGTTTTTCAAGTAAACTTTACTCATTTTAGAAAACTTAACTTTGGCTTATGAAAACCCCTATATTTACAGTTCTTCAAGGTACCGTCTGTATATTCACAGTTGTGGGACGAATCATGGAATTTCAGGAACATTCTGAAAACATTGCCTGTTGGAGCTGCATGAGTACTCTCTTATGACACCAGAAGCTCTTAGATGAGGTTATAAAAGAGCCATATGACCTTTGTCCTCTCAGTTCCTTTCTTTCTTGGCTAGATTTTGTTATTAGGGACCTTTCTCCATATTAAGAGCAACTTTTATTGTTAAACAGTATTCCAGTTGGTGTTGCCTAGTTTTCACTATTACACTCTGTTTTTGTCTGGACCAGGGTCCTGGAGTCTCTTTGGCCATAGACAATCTCTGAGTACTTCTCCACCATCTTTGGCTTATGCAGGATCTTCAATACCATCAGTGGAGTGTACGGTTATACCTCTAAGGGTATGTCTACACTGCAATTAAACACCTTCAGCTGGCCCACGTAAGCTGGCTTGAGTTCACAGGGCTCAAGCTAAAGGACTGCTTAATTGTGGAGTAGGCATTTGGGCTTGGGCTGGAGCCCAGGCTCTGGAACCTCACGAGGGAAGAGCTCCCAGAGCTCGGACTCCAGCCTGAGCTCAAACTGCAATTAAACTGCCTCTTAGCCTGAGCCCCACAAGCCTGGGCCAGCCACATTGTTTAATTGCAATGTAGACATACCCTGTGTGCACATTCTTCTGGGGAAAGCTCTCTTAGTCCAGTGTTCTTGGAACTGAGTGTTAAGGATGAGTCTCCATTTAGGCTTCATTTCCTCCAGATGTTCTTCTTTGCCTCATCACCACGAGAGTTGGGCTGAAAGGCTCATTGGCGCACACCTCAAAGCAAGAGTGCTTTAACGTCCCAGGGCACTCATTCTCTTTCAGGCCGTCTTTCCTTGGTCTTCCTTTAGTCCACAGACTCTCTCTCCTTATTGGCAGGGTCTCCTAAACCTAGCAACCAAATGTAGCATGAGAAGAAAACGACATCTCTCCTGTATATAGTGGTTTCTGAAGTTGTGAAAATAGCAGCTCTGCTGTTCTATTTCTTCTCATCAATATATATTAAATAGTTCTTCTTAAAGTGCTGTCTCTGTTGGTGCTCCACTTTAGGTGTTTGTGTTCCCCTGAGCTCGTAGTCAGAGACTTTTAGTAGCAGTGCTGGTTGGGTTGTACATGCGTGGTCCCTGCCTTGTGCTCCTGTAGGCAGTTAACCGACGCTGTGCGACCAACCCCCACTCAGTTCCTTCTCTATCGCCCTTGGCTACGAGTCAGAGCAATCAGCAGCGCCTCGCTACTTTGTAGTTAATTAGTTACAGTCAGTTACTTAGTTTCCTTATTAGCAGCTACTTAGCTTGTTTCCCTTTCCTTTTCTCCGTTTAAAAGAAAAAAAAAAAATTGCCCTTCACGTGAATGAGGCACTGATGGATCCTGTAAGGGTCATTCTGTGGACCCCCGTGGCTGCCCCTCCAGCCGGCGGAAGGTCCGACAGGAGGTGTGTACCAACAAAGGGCGTCGACTTTGCATCCAGTGCCTAATTTCTTAGTGATAGACGCAGTTCAGTGATGTGGCATGCAACACCAGCCCTGAAACACAACTCATGAGAAGGACTGGAAAAGACTTGATCAGTTTTGGCAGTAAGTCTTACTCCTTGGCTACCCCTCACCTCCGCATAGCCAACTATCCAACATTACTAACAAAATACAACTATACAAACTACACAAAAATGTCCGAATTGATTAATTTTATTGCCAAGGACAAGGGGGAACAATTCGCAGCACTTGATTCTGAGGACAGGGCTACAACATCTGTGTCGACGGTGGTTGTAATGAGAAGTTCATGGATCTATCTTTCTGGCTTCCCTGAAGAGGTGCATTTCACAGTGGAAGACTTGCCAGCCCAAATTATCCGCCAAAATGACAGACAACTTACTCACAGGCTCACGAGTGACTCTCCGATCCTTGGGAACTGTAGCGAGGCGGTGGGATACCCCACAGCCCTGCTGAGGGCGGAACCTCCCCCAATACCAACGTGGGCGGAGCCACTGGGTCCGGCGCCCGCCTCTCAGAGGTCACAGCGCCGACCCGGAAGTATAAAAGTCCACCAGCAGAGCTCAGCGGAGCACACGCCGGCGGAGAGAGCAGACGTCTGTGGCCGAGCTCCCGCTTGGGAGACAGCCGCAGGCCACGACCAGCCTGCTGACTTACCAGGCCTGCCGAGCCTACCTCTCGCCCGATACCCTGACGAGGACTGGCCAAGCCTGCCCCGTACCAGCTACTCCGAGGAGGAGCCGAGCCTGCCCCGTGCCAGCTATCCCATGGAGGAGCCGAGCCTACCCTGCGCTAACTACCCAGAGGAACCGATGCTGGTGGAGAGCACCGAGGACACTAGGACGGCCCAGGTACCATACGAGGGGGAGTGTGGAAGTAGCCCGGGGGCAGCCGACCCCAGTCTGGCTGCTGCACTGCCAGAGCCGATGTCAGTGTGTTGCGGCCAGGATTCCCACTGACAGCAGCGAGTTTCCGCCACTGCTAGGGCCCCGGGCTGGGACACAGTGGAGTGGGAGGGCCTGCATCCCCCCTGCCACCCACTCCTTGGGTGGCAGACTCCCCCTTTTCCCCTGACGTAGAGAGGCTGGGTTACTGACTGATTATTTGCTTGCTGCCCCGCCCTGACCTAGGGCCTGGGCTGCTACAAACCCTGACCCAGCCCCTGCTTAAGGGCCTGGGCCTC